AGAGCTGGACAGGTCCCATGTGAAAGTAAAGCTGGCAAATTTATTTCATGTAAAGTAATTACACATATAACGGATAATACAGTTTCAATGATTCCAGTACCAATTATTTCTAAACAAAAGAATTTAAGTACTATTAGATGTGGTAAATCAAATATAATTGATGGAAAATGTGTATCGTCAGAAGAACTAGGAACTCTTTTCTTGGTTGAACTATCTCCTATCTTATTTAAGTTGATTTGGAAAACCGAAAATGAGATAGATAATTTGACAACACTTTCTAGTGAGACAAGTTGTAAGCATATACAAAAAGGTGAATATAACTTCTTAATTTTTGAAAGTAATAAACCAAATGGTAGTCTTACTAAAACAATTTATTGGACTACTTTGGATACAAAAGAATTTTGTACTATTTTTGAAAAAGCTATGAACCAAGATGTCCCACAAAACTATATGAAAGTTATGCAAACTATTTGGAATGATAATAAGAAGACGTTGAGTAGTATGGAAGAAAAATTTATGAGTATGAAGAGAGAAAAAGAAATTATGAACAAAATGGATGAATATGTAAAAGGGGTTCCTAAAACAGAACTAAATAGGAAAGTAAGAAATGAGGCTGACAAAAAAACTGAACCCAAAGAGCCAAGTTCTAATTAATAAATAAAAGAAAAAAAAGAAACAAGAGGTGATATAAAGAAAATATCTAAATTTTTTAGTAATCATTGACGTACATTTATTTTTTTGTTATTTTTAATAAATAGTTAATTTTTTTTATTTGGAAAAGAAAAAGAGAAAAAAAATAACAAAATATAATTATAAAAATTATATTTCAAAAATAATTTTTTTTGAAGAAAGGAAAAAGAAAGGCAAAAAATTTGTTAAATATAAAATAAATGAAACGAACTTGGTAAAAAGAAGTTCACGAATGTTGAGTCATATTTACGTAATATAGAACAGAAGAAGAGATCTAGAAATTAAAAAGAAGTAAGGAATGAAATCATTATTAAAGAAGAATATTAAACAAGACTATACCATTGAATTTAAACACATCAAGGGATTAGACATTGGGGATAATATTGAAGTTGTTTTAAAATGGAGAAGAGGAGATAAAAAAGAAAATAAAGGGACTATAGAAAAAGCATTAGTACATAACGGAGAAATTATTTATTCACCAGTCCAAGTTGTTCATATTCATTGCACATTATTTTTAACTAAAAATGGTTATGACGAAAAAGGACTTGAGATTTCTCTCCATACAACTGGAAAGAAAACTAAAGAACTTTGTGAAGGATTTATTGACTTAGCTAAATATGCAGACCTTAATGGTGCTTCAAAAGACCTTTCTATTAAACTTATTGGTAAAAGTCCAGCTATTGTTGAAATGTCTATTTCTTCTCTTCTTGGTGAGGCTGGTGGTAGTTCAGATGAGACAGAAGTATTACAAATGAAGGCATCTGCAACTACAGATATCCATGAACTTCTTGTTCAACAAGTTAGTAAAAAGCAAGAAGAAGATGAAAAAGAAGAAGAGCTTGAAGAAAAACAACGTAAGCAAAAAGAAATTGCTGAACGAGAAGAAGCAGAGCGTCAAAAAAGACTTCAAGAACAACAACAGCAAATTAAAGAAGCTGATGTGTTTGCTGCAGCAAGTTCTTCTGTTAAAATTAAAGGAAAAAAAGAAAAAGATACAAAAAAGAAATTTACACAAGAGGATGTAGATAAGGCATGTGAAAAAGCTGTTCGTGAAGCTTTAAAAATGAAAAAAGAGAAATATCATAAGATTAGAGATGATTTGAAAAATCAACTTAAAAACACAACTGAGTCTTTAACTCAACAAAAGGTTTGTTTTTATTTCTCCTCACTACTTCATAATATACCTCTCCCTCTATACTCTCTTATAAATAAATCTCTTTTACTCTCTATAATCTCAATTCTTTTTATTCAACTTATTTTTGATAAGTTGAGTAGACAAGTTGATGTTCATTCACATCGGTTCATTAAAAAAAGAATAGTTTGAAGTACTCATTTTTATTAGGAAATTGCTATAAAAGAAAAAGAAAATCAAATAGATGAATTAAATAAGAAAATTTCTTCTTTAGAAGAAGAAGTTAAAGAGAAAGAGACATTAAAAGTTTCTTTAGCTACTGCAGAAAATAATAAAAAACAGCTTTCTGAAGTAATTGAAAAGAATAAAATTGAACGAGAAGAAGAAAAGAAACAGGTAGAACAACAAATTGAAGAATTAAAGAAAGAAAAGAAAGAAGAAGAAAATAAAAAAGAAGAATTAAAGAAACAATTAAACGAAGAACAAAAAGAAAAGAGCAATGTTAAAGTTGCATTAGCAGCATCTGAGGCTGTTGTAGTAGGATTAAAGGCTGAGGTAGAAAAGAAAGAAAATGAAATGACAGAACAAAAGAAGAAAGATGAAGAAGAAAAAGAAGAATTAAAGAAAAGAATAGAAGAAATAGAAAAGAATGCAGCTGCAGGTTCTGAACAAATATTGAATCAGAAGAACGTAGAAATCGAACAAATTAAAAATGAAAAAGTTTGTTTATTTTTATTAATTTATTGTGAGTGTAATATGTGAGGTATTGTGAGTATGTATATATTTTAATATATGAGGGTTATGAGTTTAAATAATTATTTCTATTTAAAAATTAAAAATGAGAGGGAGAGGAAAAAGTAGTAGTGAAGAGAGAGAAAGGAAAAGGTGTTATATGTTATAATATGAAGTTGAAGTGAGG